AAGCCCAGCTCTCCCTTAGCCCTGCCTTCTCCCTCAGAGCCCCTGCCCAAGACACCCGTGACCCTGCCTCTCTTTCCCCTAGAACAAGTACCACAGTCATTAACCCATGACAGTCTCAGAGGGAGCCCCGTGAATCATCGAGGCTCTGAGGAACAAAGGACCAGAAGAGAGGACCAGCCTTCTGGCAACTCTGCACCAGACCTGACCCTGCTGGGACAGGGCCTGCAGTGTGAATATGAGTCTAAGTGTAAGCAGGGATGAGTGTGGCAGGAGCACAGCTTCTCCTCCACACCCAGACTGTAATGTTTCCAATAAAGCCCAACTAGTACCCATGGATCTGTCTGCCATCTTGTGGCCCAAGCATAGGAAAAGAGGTATGAGACAGGGAGAAAGAAGGTGGGATGAGGGGAGAGAGTAGTTGTCTCCATTCTCCACACTTCAGCCTGAGGGAACTTTCACTTCACTTATTTGTGGTCACTCTCTGCCTTACAGTCCAGCTAGAAGGCTCCCTTCCTCCATCCCCAGACCAACTGGGGCAGCTATGTCCAACGTTTCATAATGGGTTAATTGCTCTTTCTGGACTCTACTGCAGCACCCTCTGTTGCCTCCATCCAGTGTGCTGTGTACTGTAATAATCTGTATTCTCTACTGCTGTATACCCATTCATAGCATGATAAATTTGCTGAATTGAATGACAGTAGGAACAAAAATCACAGGAAGATAGCTTTCAGCTCAGAGAGGAAGGGTTGTAACCTTCTGACCATTAACGAGGCCACTCACACAAGTACTCCCGCAGCCTGCTCCATCTAGGCTGGGCCCTCTCTGGAGACCTATTCCTCCTCAGACCCGGGTCATACAAGTGGAATAAGGCAGACAAGAAAGACAAGTGGCAGGGCAGAAGCCAAAGAAAGAGGAGAGAGGATTGGGAAAACAGTACTGGATTGCGTCCCAAAGCTCTTTTCTTGCTCCCTGGTCTCCAGGGAGAGAGCTACAAAATCTGACTCTATCCCTGTAAAAGAAATGTCCTGTGCTCCACATCCTAGTAATAAGGCCCGATTCCGCCCCCTTAGGATAGATAGACCCTGGCTCCACCTCCAGTGTGTCACTTTGACTCCGCCTCCGTTGAAGGAATGCCCTGACTTCGCTCCTTCCGGGTAATAGGCAAGCCCCACCCCTGGTGCGCGACGGAGTCCCTATGACGTAACGGTAACGGTCTGTTTCCGGGGTGGAGCCAAGGAGGGCGGGAGTTTAGGCTGCGCCGACCCCTCAGCCCCCCTCCAGGTGATCCCCACCCCCGAAATCCTCACCCAGGGCCCCGAATATCCCAGGTCCATGACCGCAAAGCCTTTCTCCCTGATCCCCTAAATGTCCCAGATCCCCGAGGTGACCGACCTCCTAATTCCTTAACGTCTGGTGCCTCCCAATTTTTCAATCCCCCACCCTATCCCGATGTGGCAATTGAGGCTTCCGGGGGGCACCTGCCTCAGATTACCTGAGAACAGGTCAGATGGGTCCTGAGAATGACAGAGAGGGGGACATGGGGTTGGAGAATCCTTGACCCAATCATGCTGCTCCCCAGGAGACGTTCGGAGCCCAGGACATGTCGGGATTGAGGAGATACGAGGTGGCGCTGGAGGCGGAGGAGGAGTGAGTGGAGGCGGGTTCTGCGGAGGAGGAACCTAGCCGCTCCGGGGTGGGGGAGGGCGCGAGTTCTCTGCGGGCGGGAGGCGTGGGGCCCCTCAAGGGGCGTGGGCTGCGAAGGGAACCGCCTCTAAAGGGCGGGGCGGAGCCTTCCTAGAGAGGGGCGAGGCGTCTAAACCGCAGAGTCTGTGGGGTCAGCCCCGCCCCCCCGGCCGGCTCTGCCTTCTCTCCGCAGGATCTACTGGGGTTGCTTCTACTTTTTCCCCTGGCTGCGCATGTGGCGGAGGGACAGGAGGTGAGGGGGCTGCGACGCCGCGGACCCGCCCGGGGCATACGAGGCTCAGCCTCGGGGGACGGATGGGGGTAATCTGGGAGTCCCCTCCTTGCCTTATGCCAGTGTCGGGTTGCCCTGCAGCTCGGCGCATCCGCGGGAGCAGAAGTTGGAGCCTCTGCGAGGCCTGATGAGCTGTCTGTCAAGCGGACTGGGCCCTGCCCCCCAGCGCTCGGGTCGCGGCCTCCCTCGCCGCACCCCCGCCGCCACTGCCCAGCCAGCCGGTGCATTAAAGATTTAAACCGAAGTCACCGTGCAGCCCTCCTGACTCTGCCGCCGCTGCCGCCATTCGGTCTGGGAGCCCCTCTACACGCCTGCTTCTCGTTACTGACAGGGCCTCCCTCCGATTGGGTGCCCTTCCATATCCAGGGCCCCGTTATTCCTAAGGATCCCTCATCAGTATCAGGCCTCCCATTACTGTCTTTAACTGCCCTCCGCCACCTAACCTCCCCACCCCCCACCCCCCACCCCTCCCTGTAAGTAGCCTATATGCAGAGAACTAAATAGTCCTGTCCTGGTCTTTTCTCCCACCCGTATCCCCACATAGATGTGTTCCACTTCCCTCCTAGAAAGGACTTTGCCAGGTGTCTGAAGCATCTTCTTTGTCTGAGAGTGAATCTAAAATATTTTAAGCACAGGGTTGTAGGAAGTAGGCAGGGAGGGGAGGGGAAGATTCTTAGAGGCTGACTCCCTCAACCTGCCACAGGGGAATTACTTGGGACTGTTGGAGATCTTTCTTACAGTTAATAACCCAACTTTTGGCTCCTCCAGTCTTTTCCCGGGTTTAAAGATACTTGGCATCAGCTTACCTAACAGTTCTTGCTGTGTCCCTAGAACTCAAAGGCCACTGCTCCCTGCCACCCCTTTCTATCTTGTCATCTAGTTAACCTGAGACCCTCTAGGTCCTAAAGTGCTGAGGGTGAGGGCCTCCTGGTGGGCCTGCTTCTGTTAGGGACTGGTTCCAGCATCAGAAAAGGTACCAGAAGATTAAGTTAAAGAGACAGCCCAGTGTATGGATGAGGGCAAAGCTAACTTTTAGCCTGGAGCTGCCCCTGCCACAGCAGCTTGTGGCTGGGGAAACCACTTGGCCCTATCTTTGGAGAAGCCAAAGGGGAGAAATGGGTACATACCCAAAAGAACTCATTTCTTGCCTTCCCAGGTGTCTGGACCGATTGGTCCAGAAAAGACCACAAAGTATATGGCAGACAGCCAGCTGATGGAGATCTGTAATAAAACAATGGCACCTCAAGAGCTGCACCTGAGCTCTGGGGTACATGTCCGGACTGGAGGGTGGGAGAGAGACCCTAAGGCCTCTGGTACTATCAGTTCAAGATGAGTGACCTCTGGGTTGTGGCCACCTTCAAGAACAGACCCAGACTCTTGAGCCATTTCCTCACAATGTCTACATCAAGAACCCTGTCAAAAGTAGAGTACTCTGTCAAGCCCAGGGCCTACACCTCACCAGGACACTATCAGAATTCCTGAGTATTCACAAGACAAACTCCAGGGAAAGACCTTCAAGCCTCACCCTGGACAGAAGAGAGGAGAAACTTGAATTGTTCAGCATGGGAGGGGGGACTAGTTCCTACTCTTGGAACTGATGGTCCCTCCTGATTGTTTCAGCAACCCTGCAGCAGAAAGATGCCCAGGATAGGTTTGGGTCCCTATCCCAAGAGAAGGCCTGCCCCATAGAGGATAGATGGCCACAGAGCAGAAGGCTGCACGAGGGACCCCTGCGACAACCAGATAAAGTCTGGATTACTGGGTTATGACTCAGTTTATGTTTCGAATACAGAGCAAGACTTGAGGGTTGAAATCCCCAGACCAGGAGTGGGAAATTCTTCAAGGTGCCAGGGGCACTAAACTTAGCAACTTGCCCCCACCATAGGCAGTTCCCAGCTTCCTTGAAAGCACAAGAAGAGGAGAAGAACTTTTGTTTTAGAGGGTGAGGGGAAAAAGGGAATTAAGGCTGGTTATAGGATAGGAGAGAAGAGACAGGGAGGAGATGAGAGGTTGGGGCTTTAGCAAGAGGATGGGATGCAGAGAGTAAGGGTTGGGGCCTGGGTTGGGGCAGGGGTGGTATTACAGGACCTGGCTGGGGAGCAGGGCCTGGCTGGAATTTGAATAGAACAAAAGAAAGCTCATTGAGCTCTTGAGTCTGATGTCTGCATAAACCAGAGACTGATTCTGGAAACCCCAGGCACCCCTCCTGGCAAGAGGCTGGCATTTCTGGGATAGGACTAGGCAAAAACAGGAAGGTAAGATTTCTTGGGTCTTTTCCCTGTTTGACATCAGCAACCTGGCACCAAAGAACTTTACCTTCTTTCATCTTTCCACCCCATCCTTCCTCCCTGTCTCATCTCCCTGGGAAAAGCAGCCCCTACTTCATCATCCCCAAGGTACCCCAGTACCAAAAAGGGCCTTGTCCCGGCTTCTCACTCTGGATGTAACTGTTCCAGCCAAGACTCATCCTCAGCCAGAAGGACTTGCTTTAGGGACCCATTCTCATCAATTTCTCCTGATAAGACAGGCAGGCTAGGACAGGAAGTATATAGAGGGGAAGATGAAGGCAAGTTGGTGCTGGCCTGCCCTCTGCTCCCACCCCACCCAAAATTCCCCTATCAGAATTTGTGTTCATATGATTGTGTGACTGGATGATTGTGAAGACACAACTGTGTGGGAGTGGGACTTTGAGGCCAACTGGGGCTATATGATTCTGTCCTTGGTTGTCTGACCATGTGAGGTTGACTGAGTGATTGAGGTGTGACTATGAATGTGACTATGGGTATATGAGTATGAATGTCCATCATTGGATACCACCGTGGATCCTTAGCTGCCCTTACTTGGCCACTGTGTCATCAGCCTTCACATCATGCAGTACCCCTCTCTCCAGCTTCTCTGTCCAGGGCTTAGAAGCCATGGGAAATGGCAGCCCTAGAAGAGGAAGGGGTCTGTGGCAATTAGGGCTCAGGAATGTCACAGGATGAGCAATACATCTTCACCTGCCTCTGACTCACCTGGTGCCCCAGGTAAAAGGCACCCAGATAAAAGGTAGGGGAGGAGGAGAAGAGAGAAGTATCCAAGCTGAGCAGCATGAAGGGGCCCTCACCCACAAGCAGCCTCCTTCTGCTACTGCTGCTGCTGACCCCAGACCCTGGAGCAGGTGAGTGCTTGGGGGTCTAGAAGGCCAGGGATTTGGGTAAATGGGGTGGAGGGAAAGGGACCCAGGAAGTCCATCCTCCAGCTGTCTGATAGAAGGGTTTGGGGTCAGGAGTCCTCTGAACACATGGCCCCATTGTCCCCTAGCACTGCTACTGTCACCCAGCATTACCTGCTGTACTCAGCTCTACCGCCAGCCACTCTCGAACAAGCTACTAAGGAAAGTCATCCGGGTGGAACTGCAGGAAGCTGATGGGGACTGTCACCTCCAGGCCTTCGTGTGAGCTCTGACCCTGCCCCTCATATTGACCCCTGACTCTGACCTCAGTCCCAACCTGATGCTGACCCCAACCCCAGCCCCAGCCCCAGTTGCTAATTCTGATGCTGACTCAGGTTTTCATTTAGCCTTTGCCCTAACCCCTGGACCCTAATGTCATCTCCAAGCTATGACTATGGCTTTGCACCTTTCCTTTCCCAGGCTTCACTTGTCTCGACGCAGTGTCTGCATCCATCCTCAGAACCGCAGCCTGGCTCGGTGGTTTGAGCGCCAAGGGAGGAGATTCCAGGGTATTCTGCCTAACCTGAATTTGGAGCTGATAGGGAAAATGGACCAGGGGCCCTAATAGCCAAAATAATAAAGCATCATTGGATAATAGTCTCTGACTGTGGTCTCCAAGTTCTATGCGTTCTCCTGTGAGCCCTGAATCTGAAGCTGGGTGACATGTCAATAAACAGAAGAACCTCTTCATTCTCTTTATTCACATCTTCACAAACCCCTCCAGGGGCAAGGTCAAGAGCCAAGGACCCACACATACTCCCCAGGCACCTACATGCATAAATTTAGAGAACACACATTCCCTACCTCACATACACATGGGCACACATGGACACAAACGTACTCATCTGCACACATTACTCTGGTAGACCTCCAACTCTGAGATGAAATCAGACGTCTGGACACTTCCAGCTGGCAGGTTGGGAACACAGAGTCTCATAGAAATGGGCTCCAAACAGAACTTCCAGCTGAGGCCACTCCCCGCCCCCCTGCCTCCATGGGGATCTATCCTGCCTGGGTTTTATCTGTCTGTCCATCCACACCAGCAAGACAGAGTTATAGGTGGAATCAGCTGAAGCCCTCCTGGGTCATCTACAGGTTTGGGGCTCCTAGAAGAAGCAGGAGGCAAATCAAGGGAGATAATAGGACTGGATCTTGGCCCAGACACCCTGAGAATGAAGGAAGGGACCCAGCTCTGAGCCCAACACTTCAAGAATGAATAGGGGTGCCCAGCTCTGATTGAACCCCAATACCCTAAATATGAGGGAGTATAACTAGTTCTAGGCCCAGGTACATTAAGAATAAGGGAGAGGACCCAGCTCTGATCCAAGATACCCCAAGAATCAGGATAGATGTCCAACTCTGAGCTTAACACCCTGAAAATAAGGGGCCCATCTAGGATCCCAAATACTGTGTAAGAGAAGGAAGAGACTGCATTCTGAGCCCAAGGACTCAAGAATGAAAGTTCCATTCCTGAGCTCAGACAGAAGAATGAGGTGACCCAACTCTGATTTCCAACACTCTTACAATGACTAGAGCATCTGGCTCTTAATCCAGACACTCAAAATGAGGGCACACATCTCCAGGTCCAAACCTCCTACAGGTCCTACTCACCTGGAAGTTTGTCCACTGGAATCACTGGAGCCAAGAACCCAGGCTTTTGGGGTCCATCCTTACCATCTGGTCTCAGTCTCAGCCTAGAGCATAAAAAGGCAGCTGTCTCCCTGACAATGGTGGGGCATCTGTCTCCTCCAAAACAGTGTATTAGTAAAGGGTCAGGAGAAAAATCAGTGAAAATAATGAAGTTGGGGGTTGGAGGGAGTAGGGGAATCATTCCAGAATCATAAATTTTTCAGTGGGAAATCATGAAGGGTGGGAATGGGTTTGGTCTGTGGGTATTAGAGCGTCTGTGTGCGATCAGAATCTGAGAGCCAATGGCAGTTACTTACCAGAGCCCCAGTGCCAGGGCCCCAGCCGCCAGTCCGAGGAAAGAGAATATTCCCAAAGATGCCAGCACCGCTACCTGCTCCAGGGGGTCCCTGTGGTCTGGGGGAGGGGAGGGTCACATGCCACTGTGAGAGTGAGGCTGCCTAACCAAATCCTTTCTCTCTGGGGCTTTCCTGTCCTCTACAACCTTGGTTCACCTGCCCAAGCTCACCAAGTGGCCGTGGATCTGGCAAGAGGGAGGGCCTGGGGGAAGCAGGGCAGTCTGCCTGAGGCTCCTCCTCCAGCTGCTTGTGTGGCTGGCCCCCAGCTGGTATCTCCTTTGGCAGGGGCCCTGAAGGGAGGGGAGACCTGAGAAGAATTGCCCACACAAGGAAGAGCGGGGGAGGGTACCCAGGAGGTGGAAGCTGAAAGGGGAGAGCCAGCTTCTGGGAACCTAACAGAGGTGGAAGCTGAGGGGCAGAGCTTAAGCGAGGGCGGGGCCGCAGGCAACCCAAGCTGAAGCGAAGAAGACCATAGACCGGAAAACCCGTCCAGCTGACAGAGACTGTGGGGCCAGCTCTCCGCCCATGCCCTGGGCTCAGGGGCTCAGTCTCTCACCAATGCTTGGAGTCCCCCAGGCCTCGGGGCTCCAGGCACTCCAGGTGCCAGCATCCAGAAAGTCCCGGGCACTGACTCGTACAGCATGGGGCAGCCCAGCCACAGCATCCGTGATCACTTCCTCCAATCCAGCTGGCTCCACCTGGGAATGAAGATGATTCCTTGGCCCATTATCCAGGTTGTAAGTGCCAAGACTACCTGCCTTCCAGACTCAGTTAGCAAACAGCACCCCTTCCTCCCAGTCCTGTCCCTGTCAGACTGCTGGAGCCATCTGGCCTCATGTGGGGTGGCTGGTGGTGTCAGGTCTACACCTAGTGTTTGAAAGACAAAAGTACATAGTGGTTATGTAGACAGGCTGTGTCATCAGACTGCCAGGTTTCAAATCTTTGCTATATCACTTGGGCTGCTCTGTGCCTCGGTTTCTTCATTTGTAAAGTAGAGGTGAATATACCTGAACAAGATAATGCATGTAAAATGTGTAGTATGGTGCCTGGCGAGCAGACAGTGCTCCATAAATATTGGTTATTATCTGAGGCAGCTGCTCCCCTGACTTGATGTTAGCCAATCTTTAACATCTCCAGAGGTGGGAATTCACTATTATCTTCATCTGGGTGTATGAATGTTTGTATGAGGTTGTGCCTCTGGGTGGAAGGCACTCCTTTTCCTAGAAAAGTTATTTGTAAAAAGCCACTCCTGTCTTCCCACGGATGGGTTTATGTTAGAGTTACAGCCCCCCAGGGCAGAGGCTAGGCCTGTCAGGCCCTGCTCCAACCCAAGCACCCAGCACAAAGGCTGGCCCATGGACAGCACTATATGGGGGGAGGTTACAGGACTTCAGTGACCTGCTAGTGTGCCAGAAAGTAATGAAGAATAACCAGGAACATGAAACCAGAGGCAGAACCTATAGCCCCAGATTGGGACATACTCCAGGTCTCACCGTGGACCAGGCTGGATGCTGCGCTGGACGGTACTGCAGTCGGAACTTGAGCAGAAAGTGGGGCTGGCGGGGCCAGGAGGCTGGGTATGTCCAGCTGGCATGCAGGCGGCGGGGGTAGCCAGGTACCGACTCTACTCGAAGCCCCTGAGGTGGGTCAGGGCGCACTGAGGGGAGTGGAGACACAAAGTCAGGACAGGCAGCAGGTACCCGTCCCTTCTCCCCACTACCTCCGAAGGGAAGGTGGGTGCATGCCTAAAGGTACCTGAGGGAGGCACTTTCAAGGGGTATGGGGAAATCTTAAGTTTGACCATCCATTGGGCTCAGGACTTGTCTGTCATCCCTATTATAAAATGAGCTGAGATCTAGGGACAGGTTTTTGAAGTGTTTGTTTAGTGAATTAAAGAGTGATTTTGCTTTCTATTCAAGGAAGAAAATTAATTAGCCTAAATTTCAGCTAGAGCTTTAGTTCCCCCCTCCCACACACAGATCAATAGGAAAGAGAGACCAGCAAGGGCTTACACCAGGCAGGGAGGACATGAGACATGGTGGCCTTCAACACAGGGCTAGAAGCAAAGAGGCAACTCTGGGGCTAGGAAGCCAGGAGGGATAGTGGCAGCAGCCTCTAGAGACTGAAGTAACTCTGCCTGCTGGGCTCTGATCTCTTTGGCTTTTTAGTCTCCATGGGGGCTATCTGTATATTAAAATGGGGTCTATGTCAGGAAGGAAGTATTTGGGTACTCTGACAGTGGGAGGTTCTGTGTTGGACTATCTGTACTCTGGAGTCCATTTGGGGTCTCTGAGGTGGGGATCTGAGGAAGCAGTAGGAATGAGTACTCACAGATGCTCTGCAAGCTCACATCCAGCAGGCGTGTACTGGCCCCTAGGGGGTTCACCTCAGTCACATTGATTCGGTACTGGCTCCAGAATTCTGCCCCATGGACTACACAGCGGGAAGCCCCTGGGGGATCCTGTGGGCATGGCCAGGGCCCTGTGGATGGACTCATCCTAGGAGGGAGGATGTGATCTTGAGCTTGGAAAGGCTCACTGCGGGACCTAGCTGGAGCCCCCAGCCTCTCTGTTATGTCCTACCTCTGGCCATCAGCTCCTGGTACTGTCTTCTTCCTGGCAGGGAAGGGTGCCATCTGAGTTCAGGAAGGAAAAGAGGACCCTCCCTCTCTCTAAAGCCTTCCTCAAGATCTCCCTCACTGCCCCCCATACCCACGTTGTGCCTGCATGCCCAAATGTATAGGCACAGGGGCGCTTGTGGCTCAGTCATTTAAGCATCTGACTCTTGATTTCAGCGCAAGTCATGATCTCACAGTCATGAGATCAAGACCCATGTCTGGCTCCACACTGACAGTGAGATTCTCTCTCTCTCTCTCTCTCCCCCTCCACTCCTTTCCCACTTGTGTGCATGCTCTCTCTCTCTCTCTCTCTCTCTCTCTCAAAATAAACATTAAAAAAAATGTATAGACACACACACCCAATCATGCACACACCTGTAGGAGGTGAGGTAGCGGGTGGGTAAACCGCTGACCTGACTGGGGCTCCAAGTGCAGGAGAAGTTCTCATAGTCAGCTGCTTGGCAGGAGACAACAGGGCGGGCTGGGGGGTCTAGAGGCAGAGGGTACAACCAGAATCTGAGAAGTCCCCAGGTCCTCCCCATCCCAAAGGGCTTACTCAGGCCCTGGACTCCCTCCAAGAGCCCCTTATCTCATCACTGCCACCCAATACTCTCTCCCCAACTCACAGCCCAGCTGTAGGGTCACAATGCCCTTAAGTGCACCATCCAGGGTCCGGCAGATGTAGGTGCCTTCATCAGTGCTGTCTGCCCGGGCCAAGACCAGTTCATGCCCTAGCCCAGAGTCAGGTCCTTGGAGCAGCCTTGTCTCCCCATCCCGAAACCAGGACACCGGGGCCCTGGGGGTGAGATGACGTATGATAGAGGGAAGATTTAAAGTGTAAGCCATGCCACAGCTCTCCATCGGCTTCTCACTGTGCTTCCAATAAAAACCAGAGTCCTTTTGCTGGCTTACAAAGCCCCTGGTGATCTAGCCCTTGCCTTCCTTTCCTTCTTCAGATCCTCTCTCTCTCCCCTTCACCCACCACAATCCAGTCACAC